GTTTCACTGGTACCCTGCTGTGCAAATTTCTGACAGGCGGAGCCTTCGCATGGACCGGAGGAGCTTCCTCGGTTTTTACTCTTGTTGCCATCTCAGTTGAACGGTACTATGCAGTGAACTATCCCCATGGCAACAAAGGAAAACTTACCCACAACAAACTAAAGGTGTGTCTCAGCCTCGACATAGTTACGAACTGTGATACTAAGTCTGGTTTCCTTATCCTTATATTTTCGGTGTAAATATCGTTGATCAGTTATGGTTTGTTTGTCTGTAGTATTCACCACATTTCATTTAGATGATTTAAAAAATTTTTTGTATATTTAAAACTGTGTAAAAAAAACAAAACTGGTTAAAGTATGGTTTTCTGACAATCAAATGCTAAGCCTTATTAGGGCATTGCATCGTGAGAAACCTCGAGCTCTTTGCCTAAAGTTTGTATTACGTACTGCATCTTACGCTAGAAAAGTCTGTAGGTTATACTTTTCTGGGCATCCTTTTAAAAGAGCAGTTTCTATGTAAAATTGTTTACAAATAAGCTTCAAGGACACGATCAAAAGTCTCGCGTAGCCTCACTGAGATAACGAACAAAACGAACACGATCTCAGTAGGAAACGGATCACATACGTAGGTTTTGTAGGAGATGTAATAGTTCTCTTGGCCATATCAAACGCATGAAGCATGCAGCGTGATTTCAGGACCGAATGTACTGGGTAGTAAATTTCTAATCAGGCACTTTGTTGTATGTTGACTGGCTGTAGACATTTATTTGTCATACGGGCTGGCCACAATTGGGATTTATGTGCTTAAACAAAGGTACCTCGCACATTCACTAAAAGGTGGCCTAATACATGTAAGATATCTATGACCTGAAAGTCTTCGTATTATTCCACGTCTAGTGAGGTTTCATCAGTTCGGTGCGACATCATTGTTTGTTTAACCCCTTTTGTAGGTTATCATTCCAGCGTCTTGGATCTTTGCAATGATCATCAATATCCCAGAGTTTCTGGTTTTGGATTTTGACAAAGCCATCGCTTCTTGTATTCTGGCATGGCCCGAGGAGTGGATGGGAAAAGCCTACAGTATGTTGTGCTTTTTAGTCTTTGGACTTCTCCCCATACCGTTGATGGTTGCATTGTACTCCAAAGTCGTGTACAGTTTGTGGCTCAAACGTAACGACGAACGTTCTCCTCAACAAATGGTACCTACTAGATGTATACTATGAGCCCAGAAGAACCTGCAGCCCCGGGGAGAGTCGTATATGAAAAGATCGTGCATGCTCGTCGGAAAATTTGAATTAAACCCCTAAAGGAGGACAATCTTGGAGTGGTTAAAACATTTGACCCCTAAAAGCTAGCACTTAAAACGGAATAGGCTCAGTTCAGTGCCAGCCGCTATTCAGGACAGGAGCCCGCGCTAATCGACCGGGACTCGAAATCGGCGGAAATCGAGCCCAAAAACGGAAAATAAGAGCGGTTTTGTAATAATGATTTCCTTTAGTGCACCCTAAAAGGTACTTTCACAGCTAAAAATAGGGTCGTTTCGTCATTAACACCCTAAGTGAGACCAGAGTCCTTGATTTACACTCCTAAGCGAGACGAAGAGCATCCCGACCACATGGAAGCCCCCCCCTTGGGATCTGCAGTTCTCCTGTCGTATATGTTTTCTAATTCGAAGCCTCTGTCTCTACTCAAAGGGAGTTTTCGTTTTTTGAACGCGTTGTGGCAAGCACTTTACTGTGTTGTTTTTATCTCTAAATAGATTTCGTTGAGCTACCTTTATTTCAATGCTACAGTTGTTTTCTTTTTAATTGCAGGGAGTGGTCAAAGTAAGAAAACGCGTTACATTGATGGTAGTAACCGTTAGTGTCATCTTCTCAATCTGCTGGCTGACGGACACAGTTATCTTCCTGCTGAGCTATTACAGCACAGCTAACAGCCCAAGCGATGTCACTTATGCAATTGCAGCCATAATGGTTCTGTTCAATTCTGCTGTTAACCCATTTGTATATGCTCTGTTAAACCAACGGTTTAGAAATAAGATAAAGAGAATGATATGTAGTTCCTACCGTTCTACAAAGGGGATTCGCAATTCAGGCGACAAGCAAGGGATCGAGTCTGCCAGCAATTACATCCGTAAGAATCACACAGTAGAATCATTTTCAATGGGGTAATGTGTTTGCTCCCATCCCTGTTAGGGATACTAAATCAGATTCTTACCTTTCGTAATGACGTGATTTCTTACAGTAACAGCTTCAGTCTTCTGAGCTCTGAGCATATAGATGATATATTGATTCTTTGAATGGGAACAAAGAAACTGAAAATGTGTCTAGTCTGATTAACGTCTCTAATTAGAGAAATTGTTCAGTTTTGACCTTAGCCAGAAATTTCAAAAAACTCATTAAACTTAAGGAGATAGTTAAATTTGAGTTTATTATCATTATCGTTATCATTAGCATTATTATTATTATTATTATTATTATTGTTGTCATCATTTATTCGTTTTTTTTTTCAATCATTTCAATTGCGAGCGAAACTGACCAATTAGGTCAACAACCCGATTTCTTTTGTGAAATAACAATTATTTAAATACAATGCTTGCGCGCAGAACTCAAAAACTATATTAACACAAATTGAATAGACTTTTGCCAGGTTGTTCTAGGTTAAATCGCCGGCAAAGACCAAACGGAATAACAACAATTTGCCAACGTGCAGTAATTAAGTTATCGATATCTATATGTCTTTGATTAGTAGGTCGATCACTCGTAACAATTTTGTAGTTTAGACACTAAATAAAGTTGCTTGCTTGTTTTTTTCGCTTGCTCGCTTGATTGATTGATTGATTGATTGACTGTTTGGTTGATTGATTGCTTAATTGACTGACTGACTGATTAATTGATTGCTTGCTTGCTTGCTTGATTAACTGATTGATTAATTGATTGATTGATTGATTGATTGATTGATTGATTGATTGAGTAGTGGATTGATTGACTGATCAAATGTATCGGGCTGAATGGACAGACTGAGGCCGGCCCTGTCCTCGCTACGCCGGAGGAATTTGAAAACGGAGCTTTATTTCTCCGGCTAGGCCTTCTGTCCACACTAATCCATCACAAAAACAGAGTTTTTCGAAAGGGCTCTTCAAACGTCGGCCTTGGCTTTTAATATGGCCGGAAAACATTTTGAAAATGAAGCTTCTCGAAATGAAGACGTTACGAAAGTCATGATATTTCCCTGCACGAGTTTCACTCAAAGACAAATTTAATTGGGCAAAGGCCAGGTTATAAAAAATGGTTTTTAATATGTAATGACTGACTGAGACGTGGAGAGATCTTAGTTGTTTCGAGATCTGTAATCTTGCATCGTTGTATGACGCTCTAATTTACCAATTTCCAGCAGATTCGATTGATAGCTATGTTATTTAGGCACCCAAGAGGAGATCTAGGCCAAACAAAGTGTTTTATTTATCAACTTTACAATCAAAGACAGAAACATACACAAGCATCATAATTACAAGGCGCCGGCCAGTTAAAATATCGCAGCAGAAAACGCAAACAAGAACATGGTGCTTGCTGCCTGTTACGATGGCAAAGATGTAATCATCAGGCGTAAAATAAACCAAAGTGGTAGTCTGCGGGTTTAGGCATGTAAATATAAATTACCACAGCCACAACATTGTCAAAGTTACCCGTACCTCCTGGATAAGAACTACTAGGAGAAGTCCAACTAACCTGGATGGGAGGCTAGTCAATCTCAGGCTTCCCTTTTCACCCAACCACCCCTCCTTCTCCCCAAATTCCCAGTATTAAGAGTTCACCGGTATCCAGGGTCGAGAGAGTTATGGACTACGAGAGAAATGTGTCTCACTCTGATTGGTCGTTTCCTCTGCATAATACGCTATGAACAAGAAAGGTAAAGTTGCCGACAATGGATGATGTTTCTGTTTTGTATCAAGCAGCTCAGTCAAGGAGTTTAATGCAGAGGCAAGACTTGAGCCGAGCTGGACTTCTTGTTGTGACACCTAACCAGTTTGTAAAGGTTCTGTCTGAACGGCTGGCTTCGAAGGCTGTAGACTATGGGGTTAATAGAAGAGTTGAACGTTGCCAGGACTATAGTGATCTTGTGTAGTATTGAATACATCGACTCTGACGGTAGCACGTTGGCTAAGAAGTAGATCATCAATGTAGGAACCCAGCATATCACATATATGACACTGACAACCAACACCATTGTAGTTATCCGCTTTTTGGATCGAATAAAAGCCATTTGAGAGTGGTTTTTAAGGGCCATCTTGCTAAACCAGAGACGGCGTACTATCTGAAAAGAAATTAGAGTTTAAGGCCACTCCTTAAAAAAACAGCTGCGATAACCGAGATCCCGGCTTAGAAATCTGACCAGGTTATTATGTAATAGAGAAGAATACTTTCACTGTTTTCTACAGAAAAGCCCCGACTAGCCAGTCGGGCTACAAAGAAGGGAAGATCGCGGGACATTTAAGAGGGCATGTTTTATTCCTATTTACGTTACCAGCGACCTCATTAGCATCAGTGAACAGCTGTAGCAAAATGTGTGACAGGATAGTCTCACGTACTAGGAGCCATGTTTCAAAGTCCCTAACATGGACTGAATACAAGTATTTGTTGGTGCATCAAAACAATAGACTCTATTTGATTATCATCTAGTTCTTATCTTTAAATCTAACTAATAGTGCAAAGGAGAGCTTATAAGTCAATTGGTAATTACTCGGTTCAGTCGCAGTTGCGTTAGAAACAAGCTGAAAGTTCTCTATGTAATTGCAAGTCACTAAAAGTCTAGTAAATCAGTCTTAAACGGTCCTAGTCAGCCACACTTTTGTTTCTGTTTACATGCGAAAGCTTGGCTATTATATTTTATTCAAAACGAAGGAAATCACTGAGAAACTAATTAAGATAATCAGACATACTTTCAGGAACACAACTTACAGTAAAGTAATATGTCAATGATTTCGATGGCATCGAAAATAGCGGAGGCTGACTAGGGTCCTTTAAGTTAAACCAGGTCATTGTACGTCTGCGAACAGATAAACTCTTACTGGTAAGCAAAATCGGGGACGTGCTTCGTACTTCACTGTTTATTTGTTTGTTTGCCTATATTGTTTATTTGTTTGTTTGTGAAGTACTGAACCCAAGTAAAAGCTGTATAGATATACGATGCTTGCTTTCCAGTGATTTGACAATGAAAGTCCTTTTTTCACTTTCGGATGTGAAAGGGTTACAGACTTTATCGCCCCCAGTTTATTATAGTTAGCTTACCTTAAAGTACAAGACGCTCATCACAGCAATGGGTATAATCCCAGCAACAACGATCCAGCCGAAACTGTAGATTATGGGAAGTATAGAATATGGCCACTGTTCTGCGCATGTCTTAATCGTATCCACATAAGTGACGGAAAGGTACAGTGGAAGACCCCAGAACAACGCTACCGCCCAAATAAGGAAAACAGTACGGTGTAGGTTTTTAGCCCTGCCGGAGCGTCTTTTGAACGGGTGGTAAGCGGCGTGGTACGCCTCTACTGCAATTGCCACCAGGCTATAAATCGACGCTATTGCAGCAGTCCATGCTGTTGTCCCTCCAGTAACAAACTTACAGAGATACCAGCCTGTTTTTCCTCCTGGATGTACAAAGGTGGGGGCAATGACAAACTTGATGCCCATGAAAATGGCCACTAGGATATCTGCGATTGCCAAGTTCACCAGCACGTAGTTCATGGTTGTTCTCATGTTTTTGTTGTTTATGATCACTATGATCACAAGTGTGTTGCCGAAGAGGTCTGCTAATATCATGAGTGAAAACGCCGTGGCGAACCCAATGTATTCTGGCGTAAGATTTGTCGGGCTTCCTGCATTGTGCAGTAAAAATAGGTTTATAAACTTAATATCTATTTTTCTTTAATAGCTCGCAACGAGCGAGCATCTCAGATAGTAGACAAAGACAGGTGTATTAAAGAACAGATTTTTTTTCTAACTACTTTATGTTAGTTGCATTTATTTCACCAGTTAAGTTCTCCAAAATCGTTTTTGCGTGTGAAATTTCGTGCGAAGTTTGAAGTTTTACTACAAAAACAATTTCTGTCAGTCGTTGCTTTTAAAATCACTTGAAATCAGACTTTTCTACAGTAAATTGAATAGCAGAAGCCAGGAAATTTGTTAAGTGTATTCCACAGAAATTCTCCTAAATACAGCAACGATCAGAAAGGTAAACTCGACTGAAATTGACTCAAATTTTATACGGCGAGAGAAACACAGGATTACGCGCCATTACAACGCCAAGCTGCAAACAACCAAGCAAACTCTCACAACTTCAAAACATTCAATTAAATTTACTTACAGTGACTTTCCTTGCCATTTTAAAGTGAACAGAGATAAACTTGCATTGATTAATCGTCGATGGATGCGTAAAAAAGGCAAAAGATTGACGATTACCGCTAACGTTTAGGAGCGAAATTTAGGCAGCGGAGAAAAAATCCGGCCCGCGGGCCGTATCGTAAAAAGCTGGACCGGTCACGTGCGTATGATTAGCCAATCAAATTCGGGGATTTAGGATTCCGACCCGCTCAGATGCTTGAGAATTTGGATATTTGTCCTTGGACATTATCTGTTCCTCGGAGCTCACGGTTTTCCTCGAGCTACGCTCTTGGAAAACTGTTCACTTCTCGGAACAGATAACGTCCGCGGACAAATATCGTAGCATGCATATTTTCGCGCTAAATAGGGGCTATTGTTTATATATCTTGACTTTTCAGTGTCTCGCAGATCAATTGTTTGCCTCAGCCTTCGGCTTGGGCAAATAACTGATCCGCTCGCCTCTCAGAGGTCACGATATTTTGGTCATCCTCGTCCAATAATTGTTAAATATTTCCATGATAACTTAACAAATAATATCCTCACATATTTGATCTTTACCGTTGATATGTAACTTATCTAGAAGATGCGCGATAAACGTAATCGAATTCTCAGCCTTAGATGTGGCTTTTACTGATTGGTTCACACTATAGTATACCTACGGAAGACTTCACACGAAAACATCACTTAGCTTGTTTTTAACGCGTCAAGCGAAACTTTCGTCAGAAAAATAAAATGATGAAAGAAAAGAGCAGATTTGTTGAGCTTCCCATCGAGTAAAGAAACAATGGACAATGCCACCTCTAAAACCATAGGAAAAGCTACAAAATGTCAAACTCAACAACTAACTATATATCATGGAGTTTGATAATTGAAAAGCCCCCTCAATGCACTACAAAAACGGCTAAAAGAAGAATAACAGAATTTACAGGTCTAAAACCCGACGCAGTTTGGTTTAGGCTTTAGGCTTTAGGCTTTATGTTACTTTACATTTGCTTGTCATCAGTTTAAACCTCGGTGAACTTGATTGATTCTTAGGGTAGCTTCGTTTTCGCGCAGTTGCAGACGTATTCTTGAAGACAGCAGCCGAGTGAACAAGTAAATCTGTTCTTAATTGCGCCAATTATGTGAGTCATTTTCATCAACGCTGCTGTTTGATCAGACCTTATTGTAAACATTTATCTTTTGCATGTCAATGAGTTTTCGTAGTAGATAGGCGACCTTAGAGGAGATTTTTGTTGGGAGATTTCTCTCACTCGCCGTTTTCTCGAACACGTTTCGCTGAACTGAAAGAACGCCGGCACCTTGCACGAATTGTCTCGCCTTTTCATACCATCTTCTTCGTTTAGGTCAACTGAAATCAATAATAATCAAGCTAAACTTAATAAAATTATTCCATTCGCCCCCGTTGGATACGAGATGGTTATGACAAATTTGGCGCTAGACGCACCTCGTGTCCACCGCTGCCTTTGAGGAATAACTGCTTTTAAATATCTCAAAGCTGATTATTTGACGTTGCTCTATAGACATCAGTGTAGCTTTTTAAACTGGTGGCTGTTTCCACTCGAAAATTAAAACTAAATTTAAATCAAAGAAGCCAAGGGGACTTTTGGGCAGTTTTGTCATCGTACATTTGTAGGTCGCCGAGTGAGTTAGCCGTCTTTTGAGAAGAAGACGAACTGCATGGGGGAAATAAATAAGTATGTATTCAGTTGCGACCGGGCTACCACAGAACAGTAAAAAAACAATTCTCTGTCGTGAAGGGAGTGAATGGCAAACATTATGTATGCATTAACGCGCACATTTAGGCTGCATTAGGTGTCCGAGTGCAGAGAACCATTTTACTATTCCAACACCATCTTTTTTATGACATTCCCATCAATATTTTCTGTTCTCACTTGCGCAAGGTTTCGCTTTGTTCTTTTTCGATTTGCAAAGCTATTACACACCTAAATTGCTGTTTTGCCAAACACATTAATACCTATTTATAGCGCATTATTGAAATCATTTTTTTATGTCTGTCAACTAATCAGATGGTTGATAGCACCGATCTAGAAAGTACTCATTCAATCTTTAAAGACAATTAGAGGTTTGATTGGTAAGGCGGACGACAGGAAAGCCTAAAATAATACGGTAAAAAAAGTAGCCGTCCTGGAATCGCATGCTAAAGGCTCAATGGTGTGAGCAAAGATCGAAATAGTGACAAAGGAACAACATTGAAGACTCCGACAAAACATGGGGATTTCGTGATTTTTTTTCTAATTATATTCATTCGTAATTTTAAGATAAAGACTAAACTAAATATGCATTTTACTTCCTAAGCCCACCTGTCTCTTTTTTAGCAGCGGAATAGCGGAAGGGATAAAACGCCACAAGTTTAAGAATCGGGACATAAAAACAAAATGTGAAGTTTATATGAAATAATTCATATATGTTTTTCAGGCTTCTTTCCAATTGCTTAAATTGGAAAATTAACTGCGATGATCATTCTTCACTGTCATAAAAACAAAATATTATGAAAAGTACGCGATGGTAACAAAAATGAAATGAACATATTTGCTTTGCCATTGAATCCCTTGTGATATATAAATCAAGTGAAGAAATAAAAGCTAATAAACCGTGTTGTGAAACATGACATATTGCTTTTCAGTATTGCTTACAAACGAAGGGTTATTAAGAGGCTGTTACCAGGTGACGGCAACGAAAGTTCTAATCAAATTGGATGACAGTTTGAATACAAAGATAACAGTATGCTAATGCGTGAGACCCATAAAACTGCTTTTAATGTAGAAAGTAAGGCATAAAATAACATCAAGAATATCATGAGAGAAATAATTATTGTGAAAAAATAAAAATTTTACAAAATTAGTATATTTCGGAAAGAAAGTACCTCGCGCTTGGGCAATACTAAAAGTCTTGAGGGCTTTCAGAGAAGGCGCGATATCTAATATTGTAGTTTAAGAAATCTATAACATACGTTTTGCTTGGCATCGGTCTCTAAAGTTCACTGGGAGAGTTAAAGGCGTCTAATCTACATGGGTATTTGAACAGGTACTTGGCAAGGACTATTAATGACAATATGTTTAGTACAGTGCAACGCTTCAAGGTTAAATTTGTCGTGCGAAGCTCAAGAGAACACCATGAATTGCGATTATTTTCCATTGGACTTGATTATAGTAATTCTTTAGTAAACCGTAAAACATTAGTGACAAAACATTAGTGACAACAATACTATAAGAGAACCAACCTGCGTTGTTTTCCATGGCTTTTTTTACGTGGAGGCAGTTTAGGAGCTTCTCCTGGCGAAAAATGGGACTTCAATTCCGAGGATCAACAGATGAGAAACCAGAAACGTTGACCAATGATTCGAGAGGAATGATTTTCAAAGATGTTAGTAGTTCTTCAACAAAACAAAAATCGCAATTAAAGAGCGATCACCTACTTTTAAATTTCAGCGAACTGTTCGCCGAAGAGCCGCAATCCAAACTTTTCCACAGCCTAAATGTTTGTTTTCTCACGATAATCTGTTTTCGAATGTCAAAATCGATATCTGATTTTCCGATCGAACCTCCTAATGAAAGCGGATTTCAAATATTTGTCCTGTCAAATACTGCGCGTGTAAGGCACATTAAAGTTTTCATGAATACCCGAGAAAGAAATGCTGTCTAGCACTTATGCAAATGTAACTCCGTACGATTTCATTGGTTAGAGATAAATTTGGGCTTTTTATATAGAAAGTTGAAACTCTTGAGAGAAAAAAGTCCAGAATCTAAAATCTATATTATGTTTACAAAAACATGACAAATCTTTTTTGTTTGCATGAAATATTAGTATTTCTAAATTGGTCGTGAAGTATCAAGCTGGTTGTTTGTTTGAACCATTTGAGTGTATTCTACTCATTGTTCGTGCATAAGCAATTTTTTTTTTTTCCCCGTCGAAGTTATGAAAAAAAAAAAAGAATAAAAGTTCTCACGGTATTTAATAACTTAAAGATATCCTAAATAATTGTATGCGGTAATGATGACTCGTAAAAATACAAGGAACAATATCCACAAATAAACTTCCTGCACAAAGAAGAGGCAAAAGAAACAAGGGAAATGCTGAAAAAGTAAAAATAGAAAACCAATCAAAATCAACCAGGGTCGAAGACTAAACAAAAGCCTCATCGCTTAGAGCCCATTGTCAGGCCTTGTCAATGCCTCGCTAATTACGTCTGCTACGCTGGTATCAAAGCTAAAGAATTAATAGGCTTATTAACTCCAAGGAATATCAGCAGGTTGAATAAAAATCAAAGCGACAAGTTAAGCGCCAATCTGAGACTTCAAAGCGATGCATTTGCTTGTTGTTCGACAGCCCTTTCAAGAAAGTGGAACGTGACGCGCACGTGTCAAGAAATTACGATTGCAATTTTCATGGGCTTTGCTAAACTCGTCTTGGAGTTGAAGAAGTCGTCTGAGGGCTTCTTCATATGAGCCCGGTAACTGGGCTGCCTCGGTTACCGGGACGAATTTTGTTGTCTGTTCATATGGGAAATTTCAGCCCGGTCTACCGGGATAAAATCTAAGAAACACAACCAAAACGGTGGAACATAAACTTGTATCGTTCGCGGCTGTCGCAGCTTTGTGGACTCTTGTAACATTACTAACAATGCTAATTCGCCTACTCCTAAAGTGGAAATACATACAAGGCAAAAATTATGTCATTTTAGCCGCTATGTTGTGAAAGCGAAGCTATTTCGTCTAAAAAGTTGCGTCCCGGTTACCCAGGCTGGAGTGTTCAAATGGGAAAAAAATCAAAAATCAGCCTGGCTTCTCATATGAACGCATCGAAATTTTTACGAAGGAAAGAGTGGCGAGGCGAGATCTCGGAAAACGACCCAGCCCGGTTGACCGGGCTCATATGAAAAGGCCCTGAGACGACATTTTCGACACACGAACACACGTACGTGATGTTGTTTGCAAACAGACACTTGTAATCAATTAAACAAGCAATTTAACGCTCAAATTTTATTGTTCCGATTTCGTTAATTGGTCAAGGGATGGAGCTGTTAGTAACAAGGCGATGACAGGGGGAGGAGCCTAATAAGTCCACTTTTTATCAAAGATGTCTACAGCCTCTCTATTCTTCCTGCTCTCTTCGCTCGCAAACCCCACCCCCCACCCGCGCGTGCTTCGCGCTCGCTTTGCTCGCTTTTTCTTTCGCGTGCGTAAATAGAAAGGCTGTGAACAGTCTAATTTGTGATATGTATGACTGATTTTACCCCGAAAATGCTTCTAGTAATACACTAATTTGTCATCAGGTGTGAAGCCAAGTTTTCTAAAGTGCGACTTGCGATTTTCAAATGCACTTGAGTCAAGAGCTTACTTGAAACCAACCTAGCTTCTAGTGAGAAGCCAAGTAATTAGCACGCGGCATGTTGACGACTTTCGATAAACGAACAAATAATCGCATCTAGTTTCCCTAAACATTAAATTTCATGTCAACCCACAATACCGTAAAGCTACCAGAGAAAGTCAACTATTCAAATCAAAATAATTAACCATTAACTTTTACATGAGCCCACGTTGGACAAATACTGAATTAAAATCAGCTCGTATCCAACGAGGGCGAATGGAAAAATAGGCCATATCCGAGTTGCCCTTTGCCTCTGTGTCAAAACGCGTACGAGTGTTCGTGCGAAATAATTCTTATGAAAATGAATGCCGCCTACAGGTTCATTTCCATGCAAATCAAACTTATTTCCATGAAAAGGTTTTGCACGAAGACTCGTCCTGAAAAACAGAGTCACAAGGTGACTGGAAATGGCTTATTGTTTTATTAAATTCTTCAACTGTAAAGACGATGTGCATGAACATTTCAGTTTAATCTAAACGAAGCGATGGTCTAAACAAGGGGGCAAAATTTTCGCACGTTGTTCGCTTTTTGTAAATTTACAAGCACTTTCGATTAAATTTTTCGTATCAAACTCTAACTAGTTGAGTTAATTGTGATATTTTGTGGATTTTTGTAGTATTGCCTTTCATTTATTGTATTTTCGCGACAGAAATCTTACCAAATGTGCTGTTTTCAGGCATTTGTTTTTTTCGACGAAGCTTTCCTTTACCGGCGAAAAAGGTTCAACTAAACGACATCTGCCGCACTCATTTACCATACACGGTAAAACACAGGTATAATGGCTGGTAACTGAGATTCAGTGATCCAATCGGCGCATCATCCGAGGTTTAAAACGTATTGACTAGTATTAAATTTTGAGCAGCAAAACTTTCGGTGCCTGATAAATTGTTTTATAATTACCTCTGGAGGAGATGGTTTTTCAGTCAAGCTCTCTCTCGGGTTGTTCGAAAGCCGGTTAACGCTAACACAGGATTAAGCGTTAACCAAAATATTAATTTTTTGTGTACAAAACTGTTTTTCATTTCTTGTGTTTTGTGTATTTTGAGATTACTCAAACTCAAAGCTGAAGGACAAACAATATAAACAGAAAGCCTCACCTAAAAGTTACAAAACTGAAATGAACATTCTCGCTAATCCTGGTTTAGCTTCATCGGACTTTGAACAACCCGGCCCAGGATTTTCTGGTTCCTGTTTTTGATTTCGCTAAAAGTGCCGCGCGTTAAGTCACCGCTGACCGGAAATTCGCTGGCTCTGGAGATGAGATTTTTGGTGGTACAGGTGGTGTACCAGAAAGGAGAATTCCGAGTTCTCAAAGTAGGAAATTAACGAACCTAAGACCTCCTGGTTACTAGTCCAGATGCTCCGCAGCCACCGAACGTCAGAGACTGGTGGTAACCATTATGATAATAATATTTAATACTTATACTGCGCTTTTTCTTTGAAATTAATCAAAGTCCATTCATTAAACTACAATCGGCGACATAATTAGTTGACACATTGTCTTTCAAAAGTACTTTAAGCGCACCAAATAACACCAGTCTTTTTACCGTGCAATATACCGTGTAAAACACCCCGCACCCCCATTCAACGTTGCTTGTTTGTAGCTCAGGATCACAGCAATTGCCACACAACATTGTTTGGTGGGGGAAGGTGGTTGAAAGGACAAGCTAGGAGGGCAAAAAGGGACCACAGTGAGGAAATAGGGCGTTAAAAAGGTGAACGTGTCAACATTTTTGTCGCCGATTGTAGGTTCATGCAATAAACGATCGACCAAATGGTATTTAGCGATGATAATTAACAAATGAAGGGTGGTAATGTAGTAAGAATTGATTTTAGACAAACCTGATAAAAGTAAATATTTGATGCGAATGTTGTTCAAACCGAGGACAAAATTCAATTAAATGTACAATTTGTATTGAGATAATTCAACAGGGTTATCAAAAGTCACTTTAAAATCTTCTGTTCCTTTCATGTCCTTTAAACAGTAAGCAGACTTTTTCAATGGCAGGCAAAATCCCGATCGGCTAAAAACTCTGAAAGTAAATAAACTTCGAAATTCTTTGCGAAAAGCCTTGTTTGTAAAGCAGTAAATCAACGGATTTACGCAAGAGTTGGACAAAGCTAGCACAAGGAAATAATCACTTATGGGACTCGCCAGAGAGGTGACATCAAATAAACTAAGAACATAGTTCAGCTGATCAGGAAACCAACACAGTGTCAAGAACAACGCTGTCAAAACACACATGCGTAAAAGCCTACTTCTTGCTTGATTACCGCTGGCCGTATTCATTGCGGGTGATTTTCTTACACTCAACCAAATATGGAGGAAGGAGGCCCACGTTATAATGTTCGGCAATATGAAAGTCACAAACACATATGATATTATGAGTGCCTTGAGGCTGCGCGGACCAAATGAATTCTTTGCCCATTGACAGCCATCTTCTCCTGGTATTTTGCGAAAAAGACGATACAATTGGAAGACGCAGGTTGAAATCCAAATACTTATAATGTAAACAGCAAGACGTTTACTGGTAAATCTGATTCTGTACTCCAGAGGTTTGACGGAGGCGAACCAGCGTTCAATTGCCAGGCACATCACGAGTAAGACCGAAGCCTTGCCCATCACAAAGATTAGGAACCTGGTGTCAATTAGATGACAGAACAATAGGCCGGCTGTACCCCTGGAATAAGGAAATTTATTTACTGGTACGATAAAACCAGGTGTAATCATTACAACAGCACCTGTAAACAAAGATACGAAACAGTTATTGTAGGTGTGACTTTTGTGTTTCATATACCACACAATCTGCAAGGTTCTTGCTTAAACCCAAGCTATCGATAAACAACTTAAAGTTACATTACTTTTATTTTCATCGTACCACTAAGAAAGCAACATTACCAAAATAACATCAACACTTGCAAATTCTGCGCTAGAATGATCACAAATATAACACAAATGGGTGTGTTTTAAACTGGTTACAGCGGTTTTTAAGCAATTTTTAGCCCTTCTTCTTTGATGGATGATGCCACCCCTCAAATGGTTACCATAGCAGTAGGACATTTCATTAAGGTTACTTCAAACCTTCGCGGGAGTCCTCCAGAAAAAAATTCGTACGCGCGCTTTTTTCAACGAAACCCCCACAAACTATATATCAACAGAAAGGTTATAAAATGTAAAATTCGATAAAATTATGTTTTGTTTTGGATTTTGCTTTCCAAAGGCGGTAGAG